GAAGCTCACCGGCGACACCGGCACCAACGAGCGCGCCAAGAACGAGCGCAAGTACCTTGGTGGGTGCGTCTACCAAAACTACTGCCGCTCTCTTGGCGAAGAGATCTCCAAGTGGGGTGCTGAGATCGTCGAGGCCGTCAACGATGCCATCACCGACAAGAAGATCATCGTCACCATGGACCCGGTCCACGTGGACGCACGTTACAGCGTGAAGGTGGGCAAGAGCATCGAGGTCCTCATCCAACAGGAGAAGATCTGTTACGAGTATGCGGCCTCGGACCCGAACAGCGTCACCGCCACCGTCGAGAAGTCCCTCTAGTGGCTCGCACCCCCCCCCGCTTCGGAAACTCTTGTTCGGCAAACAACTTTTTCGCCACCCAATCAATTTATTTAGGGAATTGTGTAGTTACAATTCAGAAGGGCTTGGGCGCTCGGTGGTTGGAGAAACTGAGGTGGGTGCCGACGTTGAACACGATGCAGTTGCCGCTGTTGGATAATTTGGGCGGCCGACACGCCGTTCCGCTCGGCTTGGCCGAACCGCGCTTGCTTTGTCGACTTCAGATCGGCCGCTCGGACGGAGTGCATCATCAGCCGATGCAGCTTCTTGGATGTTTCTGCGTTTCCAAGCACGAGCGGCGATGTGTCTTCTTCCTCTTCCATCGTGTTCTCGTCATCGCCACCTTCGTCATCATCGTCCCCATTCGGGCCGCTCGCACTTGCCGTCAAAGTAGAACCGCTTGCCGCGCCGGATCAAAGTTGGCCTTGCGGGTGGAATCCAATCGCGCGGGGTAGTTGGCGTGGACGTTGAAGGGCTCCACGCCGGCCGCGTTGTCATTGTAGGCGCTGGGCTGAGCATGTAGAACACGTTGTGCTCGCGCGCGTAGTTGGTGACGAGCCAGTCGAGCAACCGCAGGCTCACGCGCTGCTTCTGCCGACGGGCACCGGCGTGTAGGTCATTCGCGGTCCAATGCTACTTCCCCTACTCGATCCCGGAGCCCACCGGCGGGAGGTCTTGAACGCCGTCAAGTTCAACTCCAAGACCGGCGACGAGGACGCCGAGTTTGTGTCGCTCGATCTCGTAGACGAGGTCGTGCTCCACCTCGGTAACGCCCAATCCCGGCTCGCCACCGCCGTCGGCATCTGACGCAAGGAGAGCCGCACGCCCTTCAACCGCGTGACCTGCATCGAGCTGCTCGACGTGTTTGAGACCTTCCTCTCCGATATGCGCGCTGGCGATGGACGCGCCGTTCCGATGCTCCACGACGCGCAGAACGGCGCCACGCTCGATCAGACCGAGCGGTTGTTCAAGGCCGCGGGCATCGAAAAGCCCGACGACGACGGCGACGTCATGTATCTGCCGCACGTACTCGAGTGGACCCGATGCCAACGCCACCGCGGAACAGATCGCGCGCTATCGCAAGCTTGAGGTGACCCCCTCGGCGGTGCCATTTTCGGACGCCCGACCATGTACGCCATCGTCGCAACGGAGGCTGTTGTGGACGTGCCTGACAAGGCTGAGGTGCTGGGCATGATGGGATCGCCGAACTGGTTGACGCGGAGGTGCTCCACATGTGGTATCGACAACCTCGCTCGCAATAAACTTCGTTGTTGACGCTACAACTGCAGTAGTCACAAAATTGTTGGCTCTTGTGCGTACGTCCGGAATTGTGGATTAATACCACCCGATGAGAACGTGCGTCACGAGCATGTAGGCGGTCGCGGTCAGCGTGGAGACCATCATGCACGGGAAGCCCATCTGCGTGCGTGCGAGGCGTTGTGAATGGCCGCGGCCAAGCGCATGACACACACTGCACGCGGGGGTGACGCACCTTGAAAAAATAGTTGAAGGAGATTGGCCGCCCGTACTGTTCCGCTATGCCAGCCGCCACCACGTTTGCCGACGCTGGTGTCACACAAACACGGCGAGTTTCATTTTAGCCACGCCGCACACACCACCGCACCGATGGCGTATGTTGGGAAGCCTACCACCGATGAGGGTGCCATTGCCGCCCAGACAGGCGCCAAAGGCCATCGCCCATGTGAGCGGCTGGAGGGGAAGCGCGAGCGTGCCCTGCGCGGCACAAATTAAAGTTAACGTTGGCTCGACGCTCGGTGGCCGCCCCCGCACGGCATCAGTACCTTGGTGAGCTTGACGACGACGGGGATCATGGTGGTGGTGAAGGGGATGTTGTCTATGAACATCGACACGATCGCACACACCCAGATGATCAGGAACACGGCAAAGGCCAGCCGCATCTTGCCCTACGGGTAGCCAACACACATCATAAGGTCAGTGTGTGTCATGTGTGTCGTGCGTGCGTGTGTCGTGCGTGTGTCGTGTGTCGTGTGTCGTGTGTCGTGTGTCGTGTGTCGTGTGTCGTGTGTCGTGTGTCGTGTGTCGTGTGTCGTGTGTCGTGTGTCGTGTGTCGTGTGTCGTGTGTCGTGTGTCGTGTCGAACCTCGGGCATGATGTCGATGATGTCGGAGGTGGTGTTGGCGATCCAGATGGTGACCCCGAGCTCTTCGACGCATCGGACCATCACGAACAGCCCCGCGAAGAAGAGCAATGTGCTCGTCTCCACTTTTTCGAGGATTTCGTGGAAGTTGTCGGTGCCGGAGAGCACGAGAAGCACCAGCGCGCCCAGGATGGCGATCCACGGCAGCGACAGCTTGATCTCAGCTGCACCCCACCATCACAACCTGTCAGTCGCAGCGCACACGCACACGCACACGCACCACTGCACACACCGCACACACCACCGCACACACCACCGCACACAACACCGCACACGCAGCAGTGAAGAGTACGTACTGAGGAAAGAATGGAGGAAGAAGAGGAGGATGACCACCACCAGCACGCAGCAGCTCTTGATGAAGAGGGTGACGTCGCTGATGACGTACTTGCGCTCCAGCTCGGCGATGTTGATCGCGCCCAGCGGCTGGGCCGGCTCCTCCTGCCCTTCGACGCTCTCCCGCGTCTTGCCGTAGTAGTCTGCCTGGCTCCCGCCCAGCACGTCGTCGTCCGCTTCGTCGTCGTTGTCGTTGTTGTCGCCCCGCTGGCGGCCGTTCTCTTCGTCGCCGCTCACGTCCGGCTCCGGCACCTTCTCCTTGCCCTTGCCCGCTCCGCCGACGCCGGCGGCGGGCTGGGCGTTGCTGGTGCTGTGACCGCCGCCGTGACCGCCGCTGCTGCTGCTGCCGTCGAGGGCGGCTTCGATAGCGGCGATGCCGGCGAGCTTCTCGCGCAGGCGCTCCTCGAGCTCGTGGATGTGCTTGACGAGCTTCTGGCGCACGCGGTGGTCTTCGTTCTGGGTGATGCTCTTGTGGCTCATGTCGAACGCGTGCAGGGTCTTCTTCCAGATATCGATCTCCTTGGCCAGCGGGTCCACCGGCGCTCTCTATTTAATTTTATTTTTATTTAGATTAATTAATTGATTTTGTGATTTTGAAATAATAAAACATGGTTACCGAAATTAAAGAGAAAATAAAATAATTAATAATTAGCAAAAAAGAGAGCAATGGCTGGTACCCGACAGATTCTCTTCTTGTAGACGAACATGATGAGCAGGAAGGTGGTGCACATCGCGAGGATGGCGCCCGGTGCGACGTGCAGCGTGAAGGAGCTGAAGTCGACCAGACCCGTGTCCTTGATCTGCGAGTTGGAGATGATCAAAATGTTGGGCGGGTCGCCGATTCCCGTGGCCGTTCCGCCGATGTTGGAGAAGATCTGTGCACAATATACACGGATGACATGTGTAAACATATGGAGGTGCATATGTTTAAAGTGATTGGGTGGTTAGTAAAAGCACACGATGCGTGTGTCGACATAAAGTGCGATGGTGGTTTCGATGGAAGGTGGCGCACCACTTCGGAGAGGATGATGGGGAGAGGGTCGAGGTCGAGCACCCGGCAGAGGCGCAGGGTGACGGGCGTGACGAGCAGGATGGTGGTCACGTTGTCCAGAAACATCGACGCCACCGCGGTGAAGCCGCACTAACACGTTGCCAACAACCAACCATGATTACAAACATAGTTGTTACTTCAGTACAGCATATCTACGCACAGAAACATATCCACACATATGAATATATTGATTAATATGCGCACCAACATGATGACGAGATGCCAAATGTTGCCCTTGGACAGCTTGTACGCCTGCACGGCTGACCACTAATGGAATAAACGTCGACACGGCGTTAGTCGTGGGTGTAAGCGGAGTTCGGGTGTGTGTGTCGTGTGTGCGACGTGGGCTATATTCTCTCCTTGAGTACGAACCTCGAAGAAGCCGGTGGTGGAGAAGATGCCGACGAGGATCATCATGCCGAAGAGGAGACCGATCGTATCGTAGTCAATCCACCCAATTACCTGTTCGCACACACGACACGACACACGCGCGCGCACACCACACACACACACAGAGAGAGAGACTGATTAGATATTGGATGGAAGCGATGACGTTCTGATCGGTGGTGCGTGCCTCGTAGAGCGATGGTCGCTCGATGACGGCGGAGAGGAGGGCCAGACCCCAGAAGGAGCCGATGAGGGCCGCCACAGTGCGGTGGACCCACTCGAAGATGATGAGTGAGTAGACCATGACGAGCAGGATGAAGCCGAACACCACCTCGTAGCGCGCGGCCCACGAGAGCTGCAGAACGTCGAGCCGCAGGCCCAGGTTCTGCCGGGCGTTGGTCGTCAACACCACGCGGTACGTGTGGTAGAGGTCCTTCGCCGTGTCGTTGAGGTAGAAGTAGGTGTAGTCCTCCTCGCTTTCGTCCGGCCGCGCGAAGAGCTCCCACGAGTCCAGCGCGGCCCACGATTGCGCACTCGCCTCATCTGCCACACGACACAACACGACACACACGGCACGCGCTTGAGTGGATGTGCGTGAGTGCGAAGCTGGTGGGGTGTACCATGCGCGGTGGAGGCCTGTAAGGTGACGACGACGGAGGAGTTGGCTGGCCAGGACGTCCACGATGATACGTTGCGCGTCTCCTGTATGGCGAGGTTCACCCGGATCGTGTCCAGCGGCTCGTCGTCCAGCAACCGATAGTGAGGCCCAGAGTTAAGAATTACAATACTTTATAAAAATATAATTATTAATTGACTTTGTGATTTTATATTATTTATTATATTATTTATATTAGTAATACAAATAATATCTATTAAAATATAAATAATAAATAGCCGAGTGGATCAGAAAGAGAGGGGCAAGGGATTGGAGAGGATATGATGGGCTGGGCCAGGGAGACGCCGGCGAGGCGAGTGGGTGGGTTGTCGTCGGGCGCGTCGACGGACATGAAGAGAGCCATGCTGGCGATGAAGAGGAGGGAGATGACGGCCACTCTGATCTGGTGCCAGGGCAGCCCCACCACCAGGTCCCTCAAACGAAGTGCTCCCTGCACTGCACGCCGCTTGTGCCTTCGGAAATGGAATCGAAAATGGAAGCGCGTAGTGTGGTCGAGTAGAAACCAATTCTCGTGATGTACGCCCTCTGGCTTCTTCTCTCCCTTCCACTCCGTCCTGGCAAAGATGTAGGACTCGTGCCTGTAGCTCGTCTCGGCATCAGACTCTTCTTCGTAAGATGAGGAATCGTCCTCCTCTGGATTCAGTCGTTTGAAATCGTTCCTGTCTCGATCGTTGATGTGGCCCACGCGACGTCGATTCGCTTCCTCCTCATCCTCGGTCAAGCCACTCGGCCCGCTGCTCAGGTCAGCGTCTTCTTCCTCCACGAGCCGCCTTTGCTCACTGTTGCTCCTTGGTCGCTCTTCGTCGTAGTCATCCTCAGCAGCAAGAGGATGTCTGCCGGCAGCGCCGCTGCTCATGTTGTGGAGGCCACAGACGTCTTCCCTCCTTCTTTCCTCCACCAATCCAATCTCCACCTCCAAATCGCAGGTCGGCCGATTAAATCTCAATCTCTAGCAAACCGATCTCTGACCATTCACGTTTGTACGGCGCTGTGGAAGAGGTGGTGCAGTACTAAACCACGGCCGTGCGTAGATGGAGCAGACGAGAGCGGCCAGAGGAAGAGGAACGAGCGCACCAAGCCCGCAGGTCATTTTTAATAAACGAAACAGCAGGCGAAAATGCTGCTGGCATGCTAGGAATGCTAAGCCCACCACACCTAACTCCACCCAACGCGCCTTGGGCCTTGTGCCAAGACTCAGCTGTTAGGAGTCAGTCATGGCATCCACCTGGTGGTGTTCCTTCCTGGGTGGAAGGGCTAACCATCAACTACTCTTCCTTGTTGTTTAGTTCTTCAAGCCAATAAACAATCAAACCCCTAAAGAGAAAAACATGGCCACTCTTGGGCCAGTTTTCCTTGGTTTGTTCCAGAGACTTCCCCTCGTCAAGATGCTTGCGGCATCAATCCCGAGGGGCAAGGGCTTGATCACTACCCGATAGAGCCACCTGCATCACTGAGCATTCGTTATTATTTTGAGATGGAGGAGCAAAAACGATTCGTCTACATCTTCACCCGGACTGGCCACCCCCTTCAAATCTTTGCAAATTGGCGAGGAGGGCGGGGGCGCAGGCCTGCTGCCCATCATTGCCAGCGAGCACATCGTGCCGGGCGAGCTGCTAGGCGGCCGTGCCCTGCGCGAGTGGCGCCGTGCCGTCGTACACGGTACCGACGTCATCGTCAGCCGCCAGCGTAGCGACGACAACCCGCCCGCCGCTACTCGACGGGCCAACCTGCAGGCCTACGCCCTGCTGCGCCACCCCCACATCGTGACCCTGCTGGCCGCCACCACCCACGGCGAGGTCATCACCGAGGTGTGCGACTACGACCTCCTGCCCGCACCCGGACCGAGCTCGGGCTCGGCCAAGGAGGAGCGGCGGCGCTCGATCTCGCTGCTGCGCATGTTGGCCTACGCGCGCGACATCGCGCAGGCCCTGGCCTGGGCGCACAGCATGCACGTGATTCACAGGGACGTCAAGCCCTCGCACTGGCTGGTACTATCGTCGCTTCGTCACCTCACTTTCCGCTCTTCTTTGTCTGAGCTGACCGCACGCACCACACCGCACGCACCACACCGCACACGCACACGCACACGCACACGCAACGAAACCGCACGAATGGAAACCAGGTGGTGGGCAACCGAGCCAAGTTGGGCGGGTGGATGTTCGCCGAGGTGCAGCGGGGTGACATGCACCCCAAGCCCGACGATCACTTTCACGGGACACCGCTGTACATGGGTAACATACACACGACGCACACGACGCACACGACACGCACTGCACACACAACAGACACACACACTGACCCATGTCGCTCACCGTCAACTTGGCAAAACACGGAACAGCTCCCGAGCTGTGGCGGCCCGAGCCGTTTGATGGCAGGAAAGCCGATGGTAGGGTCTCCTGTCCCTGTGGCAACTGGCCCGGTCTCACTCGCTCACCCACTCACTCACTCACTCACATGACCGGCTTGCTCCGTACCTTACGCCCCGCAGTGTACAGCTTTGGTCTGGCGATGTGGGAGGTGATCCACAACGACTTCGCCTTCTCCGGCTTCGACGACCTCCTCGCCTTCCGTGAGGTACCTTGAGCTATGTGTGTGTCGTGTGTCGTGTGTGTTGTGCGTCGTGCGCATCGTGTGTGTCGTGCGTTCCGTCGGTGCTACGTATTCTCAAGTGTTTGTTCTCAGGCTGTTACGGACCGAATGGAGCGGCCGCTGCTCTCCGACGACACGATGCCCGTAGCGGTGAACAGGCTCATCGCGCGGTGCTGGGCTCAATCTCCCGCCCAACGCCCCACCATGCTCGAGGTGCGTCAGACGCCTCGCAGTTCGCCCCCCCTCTCCAAAGCTCACCTCTGTCGCGGGTTCGCCAGGTCGTGGCCAGCCTGACCAGGATCATCACCGCCCTCGAGTTGCTCGCAGGCACCACGAGCGTCCAGTGACACACAACACTTTCTTCTCCTGTGGCAAAGCTTCATACGTCGAACGTCACAACATTCACTTCATAGCATGCACATCATTCATTGCATTGTATGCGAGCCCCAACTCCATGCACATGTGCATCGCAAAGATCACCAACTGGTTTACGATCCACCAATGGGAACGCCTTGTGGCTGCAACTCCGTGATCCCTTAGGGCACAACTCCTAAGCTCCAGGAAGGCCCGATTGGCTGACTGCTCTCTTTCCGCGGAACAAGCCCAGCTATTGGGCCTGGTTTTTATGTCGAGCTCACGGCCTCTAACTCCTATAGTATGATGCAGTTCGTCGGGGGGGTGGTGGTCTGGAGGCCATCGCACAGCGCGACACCAACGACCACCGGCCTCGGGGCCGCGGAAGTGAACGTACTCCGCCTCCGCTCACAGGTATAAAAGGGGCCTGGCCTGGTCTCTTTATCTTCACTACTCACCACCCAACACCTACTGAGTACTCAACCACAACCAAAACACACTTGAACTGTTCCATCTACTGGTACCCACCTTCTGTTCTTCTTCTTCTTCTGCTTCAACAAGCATGGCACTCACCCTCTTCTTGTCATCTTTGCAGTAACAAAGGATGAACGGTCAAGCTTGGTTGATGTGGGCTTGCGCCCTGGCTCTCGCCTCCATCGTCTTCATGAGCGCGCCCACCGTGGGCCAGTCCACCTGCTACGCGCCCACCGCGCTCAACTTCACCTCGGAGGCGGGCAAGCTCTGGGTCAACGGCCAGCGCTTCCACCTCAAGGGCACCTCCTGGTTCGGCTTCGAGACCGCGGCCTGCACCGTGCACGGCCTGTGGGCCAACTCCTACACCTTCTTCCTGGACTTCCTGGCCGCGCAGGGCTTCAACGCCATCCGCCTGCCGTTCCACCTGGAGCTGGTGCTGAACGAGAAGTCGCCCAACGGCATCAACTACGGCGCCGGCGCCAACGCCGACCTGCAGGGCCTCAACTCCCTCCAGGTCATGGACAAGGTCATCCAGGGCGCCGCCGCCCGCGGTATCGTGGTCATGCTCGACCTCCACTCCTTCGCGCCCGACCAGTTCATGAGCGACGGCCTGTGGTACAACGGGGCCAACCCCGAGTCCAAGGTCATCGCCGGCTGGACCAAGCTCCTCCAGCGCTACAAGAACCAGTGGAACGTCGTCGCCGCCGACCTCAAGAACGAGCCCCACAGCTCCACCTGGGGCACCGGCAACACCGCCACCGACTGGAACCTGGGCGCCGCCCGCCTGGCCAACGCCATCGCCAGCGCCGTGAGCGACCGCTTCCTTATGTTCGTCGAGGGCGTGTCCAACTCGCCGCCGTGCCGCGAGAACTGCTTCTGGGGCGAGAACCTGACCGGAGCCCGCACCAACCCCGTGGTGATCGACCACCCGGCCAAGCTGGTCTACTCCCCGCACGTCTACGGCCCCAACGTGTTCGGCCAGTCCTACTTCTCGGCCGGCAACTTCCCCGCCAACATGCCCGCCATCTGGGAGGACCACTGGGGCTTCATCCCCGCCGCCACCGACCGCGCCTTCGTCATCGGCGAGTGGGGCGGCCCGTTCAGCGGCAAGGACCGCGTGTGGATGGAGGCCCTGGCGGCCTATCTCAAGACCAAGGACTCGACCGGCCAGTTCTTCTGGTGCCTCAACCCCAACTCGGGTGACACCGGCGGCCTGCTGAAGGACGACTGGAGCTCGCCCGATTCGGGCAAGCTGGCTCTCCTGGCTGACCTGGTCTCCGCGCCGACCAAGTTCGCGGTCAACGCCCAGGGTCAGGTCTGCATCAACGGCGGCAACCAGCCGGCGCCCTCGGGTTCGGCGTCGCCTGCCGCGCCCAAGCCCTCGGCCTCGTCGTCCGCCGCTCCCTCGGCTTCGTCGTCTCCTGCGGCGCCCAAGCCCTCGGCCTCCTCTTCGCCGGCTGCGCCCAAGGCCTCTGCTTCGGCGTCGCCCGCCGCGCCCCAGCCGTCGGCCTCCTCTTCGCCGGCAGCGCCCAAGGCCTCTGCTTCGGCGTCGCCTGCCGCACCGCAGCCCTCGGCTTCGTCTTCCCCGGCTGCCCCTCGGCCCTCCGCCTCGTCGTCCCCCGCCGCCCCGTCCAACCCGCCCACCACTGGCGGATTCAGCTTCTATGTGTACGTACCCAACTCCGAACATGTTGTGTGCACAAACCAACATATTGCTAACATATATTGTCATCATCACACAACAGTGGCACGAGCGCCTGGTGGGTGGCGGTGACGATTCCCGGCTCGGAGTCGGTCTCGATCGACTGCGGCAACGGACAGGGCCTGGTGGTGATGACCCCGGCCTGGCTGCCTCACATGTGGACCTTCACCTCGACCAACGGCCACGCGTGCAAGTCGAGCCTCACCTTCGTCGTCAACGGCGGCGCGCCCCAGACCATCACCTCCCCCTGGGCCTGAACCATCATCAGCTCCAGCCCTTCAGTCTTTTCCCTCTCTCTCTCCGGTGGGTAATCTTGATTATCAGCATAGCGCTGTAATCAAAACCTACAACAAATGCAAATAAAACTGTAAGTTACTCCTACATCGTAGCAGGTGTTGTTTCATTGTTGCCGTTGCGAAGTAACCCTTCCATAGGCGCCTCTCCGGTCTTGATGCTGCACCTTCGGTCTCACGCACACCACGCGCACACACCACACACACTGCACGCGTAGTGGAGAATACGTACTGAGGAAAGAATGGAGGAAGAAGAGGAGGATGACCACCACCAGCACGCAGCAGCTCTTGATGAAGAGGGTGACGTCGCTGATGACGTACTTGCGCTCCAGCTCGGCGATGTTGATCGCGCCCAGCGGCTGGGCCGGCTTCTCCTGCCCTTCGGCGCTCTCCCGTGTCTTGCCGTAGTAGTCCGCCTGGCTCCCGCCCAGCACGTCGTCGTCCGCTTCGTCGTCGTTGTCGTTGTTGTCGCCCCGCTGGCGGCCGTTCTCTTCGTCGCCGCTCACGTCGCCCACGTTCGGCTCGGGCAAATGCAACGGGGCGCAACTGCACCGGTGACGAAGGGATGTAAGAGAGCCTGTGCGGCAGTGTAGCGAGCAGGGACCAAGTGCTGCGTGAGCTTGTGCACGAGGTCCAGCGCCATGGCGCCAGCTGCCTCACCCAGCAACACAACCGGCGGCCGCTTGCCGCTGCAGACAAGGATAACCGCATAAACACGTAAGTTCAGACAACTGCAAGGAAGGGGAAGGTCTCGAACCGCTTCATCTTCAGGGCTTTCAGCTTGCTCGCAAGGCGGTCGCATCGCTCCTTGTGCGACAAGTCCTCGGCCATCAGCTGTGACAGGTAGGCCGTCAGCGCCTCGCTCTCCCGCTGGTGGTTGTAGAGATATTGAATGTCCAGCAGCTTCTCCAGGAGCACAAGGCCTGCCGCAAAGACATCTGCTGCTCCGCCGTTGCGCAGCACAGCCTGAACCATGGCAGGTAGAAACATGGACGCAAGTAAGTATGCACTGGTGGTGGTGATACGAAACATGCAACCAAGAAAGTTGTATGAGCTCACCGTGTAGTCTCGGTCGCGCTCAGCTTGTGTACACTCGGGAGCGCAATACCCTGGCGTGCCACGGCATACCACATCGTCTGTGCTGCTTCTCAGTGGCGAGAGACTGAACTCGAAATCGATCAACTTGACCTGCAAACCTGGGGAAGAACCAGTTGGCCAACGCCGGACCAGCGGACCACTCAATGCTGGTGCGCACCTTTCCCATCAACTTGCGAGGTGATGATGTTGTCTTGGTGTGTTTTTTTGGTAAGCGGTTAGGTGGGGGCACAATGCAGGAAGCCGTAATCTTGGGCTCACGCCGTACCTGATTTGATGTCCAGATGAATAAGGCCGAGTTCATGAATGCCTGCGAGCGCCTGATGGTTTGAGATTTCCGTGGCGCACGAATGCAAAACGACTGTCAGTGTTTGAACTGTGCCCACCGAGCGCACCACCGAAGTCGGGCTTACCTGTAGCAACCCGCGTGCGAAGAGCTGCATCTCGCTCCCGTCCGTTGGGTTGATGGTGCATGGTGGTAGGTACTCCAAGTCAAGCTCAAAGTAGTACTTTCCAAATGAGCGATGGCCGAGGAGCCTGGGCGCCAGACCTGAACAGACACAGGACATGGGCAGTTGTTCGGGCACCAACACGAAGCACTTGAGTGCTCTTTCTTACCTTTGCCTTGCAGGAGCTTGTAGGCCTTGAACTCGTTGTTGTTGTTGATGTCGATGCAGGGCTTGAACGTTTCCATCGTCTTGCGCACAAGGAGTTCTCCGCTGCCGCATGTCCTACCCAACACTACTTGTATTCCGCCGCGCTTGAGGGCAAATAAAGTCAGTACTCGGGCATTGATTCATGCCAAAATGGACAGCCATGGGCGCACCTTAGACAGGAGAATCGCTTCCGTTAAATCAGTCGCGGTGTTGCCACTGTTAGTCCCGTTGTGCTTGTCCTTGCCGCTTCCGGAGCTTCCAGAACTGCCGGAGCGGTTGACCGCACTCTGCAATGGGCCAGACAGAGGTCATTAGGGCGCTCGCGTACACGCATCCCACACGAAATATCAACTACGTACTTGAGGCTCTTTTGCGTCCTCATCGTCGTCGTCGTTGTCGTCATTGTCGTTGTTGTTGTCGTCATCATCGTCGTCGCGTTGTTCATCCTGCGCGCTAATAGACTTGTGGCTCTTGGTGGCTTCTTTTGTGCCCTAAAGGTGAAGAAAATGTTGTTGCAAGTCGCTAAATCAGCATGAGAAGACGGAGAAAGACAAGGTAAGAAGCCGTACACGAAGTTGTTTGCGGACAGCACAAGCGAAGAGGTCGCCATAAACAGACAGGCGCCACATGAAAGTGGTATAGTGCAGGAAGCCCTCCGGCGTCGCCAAACTTGGGCAATCGAGAAGTCGTGACCATTTGTAGACGGCCTGCTGGGTCCTGGAGTCGAATTGCCGCCACATAAAGTAAACGCTCCAACGCACGGCGCTTCGAAGGACGCCAACTGAGACGGGCAGAGGTATGCCGTTGCCCATGATGTCGAAGATACCCACAGTTCCGATGGATTTCGCCAGGTGCCAAAGCCTGATCCCCATGATCACAAGCAGCTTGGACCTACAACCACGACCAGACCAGACCAAAGCAGATCAGCACTGAGCATAAAGGGAGGGCAGGGAGGATTGTACTCGCCTTTGTTGTCTTCACTGCTTCGCTTTTC